ATTACATGATTATTAAAACTACGTTAAATTAACAAAAATAGCTTATAATTAATTTAAATAAACTTATACTGAATAAATAAATTTAATTGTCGAATTACATTTTTTGTGTAAATATTTGTAAAAAAAATCACTTAAAAAATTTAGTATAATTTGTATGTAAAAAAAATTGTAGATAATAGTGAATTAAAATTTTTTTGTGTAAATATTTGCAAAAAAAATCACTTAAAAAATTGATTATAATTTTCATATAAAAAAAAATTGTAAATAGTAGCGCAAAGGCATTTTTTAAATTCATTACTAGTAACTATATGTATAAAATTAACTTACAACAATTTCTTCAACTCGTCTGATCTTTCAATTGTAAGTTCTCTCTCTTCTTTTGTAGCTTTTATGCAACTCTCTCGAACCAATTTTTCCACTACCAAACCAACATGTTTTTCATGGGTCCTATAAGTACTTGGATTTAGCGGTGACACTCCCACCGATGTCAAAACTTTGTTCAACTTAGTAAAACCTCCTCCTCCGTTCAATGTGCCTATATACGAAATAAATAAAAAAATATAATTAAAAATCATTTCAGTACTTGTTCAAATATATAATTTGCACTTTATATAATTACCAAGCACCGCTTTTGTATTTGTATTGAAAATCATTTTATTTGTCCCAGGTACGCTGTGCTGTTTGTCTGTAAGAACGTCGTTAGAATTTCCGCATGCTCGGCATTCAATATAATACGTCGTACCAAGGCCTATGGGCTTACTAGTAGTCGCATCCAAAAGAGATAATACATTTTTGCAATGCTTGCAAATTAATTGATGTGCAATCATTTCCATGTTCACAATTTTACAACCTTCGTCTTTCAGATTGATGTATTTTGATGGTTCGCGTGATGCAAGTGTAGATTTGACTGCAGTTTTGAGGTTACGCGCTTGTTTACAATTTTCACGGCGAACATTCCACACGTTTCGGCCGGCTTTTTGCTGATTAATGCGTGCATTATATACTTTCTCGCTTACCCTTACACCTTTCCAAAAAAACTTCTAATTTTTTTCTTTGGGCATGACTATTTTATTAACTAAAAAAAATATACACACGCTTCTCCTTTTGCTACAGCTGATCAACGAAGTGCTCCTTCTATGATGCTCTGAACACACACTTACAGGCACACACACATGACCGCAAAGCGACGTTGCCAGATAATTCTACTACACAAATCAAAAAGTTTCATGACTCTTGCGGTACCTGTACAACTACCTTAATTATTAATTACCACACTTAATTTGCCTAAATAATAATTACGACTCTCCTTTTTTTCCCCTATAGATACGAATTGTGAGCATGATAAGACGATAAATTCATTCAATTATTGCTCGGAAGTTAATAATAAGAATAGGAAGCAATAAGAAGTGACTCTCAAGAAGTCGAATTGAATATCAAGACCTGGGCTAGCCATAAGTATTTTGAAGACAAAAAGAATAATTATGATGACCAAAAAAGAAAATTTTGCTTTACAGGTCACTCCTCAACAAAACATTCCTTGGAAAAATGTGCTATAAAGTAAGTTGCTGGTTATCTCGTTTCCAAATACAGAAATAAATTTAATTGCGAATTTTGTATGAACGCGTTTACCAGAGATCACAATAGTTTTTGGAGGCTCTTTGCACGTTTCTTCCAACCAAATAACACAACTGAACTTCTACTTAACTATCTTTTCAGCATATCACTTTAAATTTTGATTATTAATCTTTTTTGTAATGTGACTTCGGAATTTCTTATCAAAAATTTGATGCGCAAATTAAACGAGGAAAAAAAATTCATCAGATGGTACAATTAAGTTTCCAAGCTGATTTTGTAACACGCGTTTATACAAAATTCGCAATTAAATTTATTTCTGTATTTGAAAACGAGATAACCAGCAACTTACTTGATAGCACACTTTTCAAAGAAATGTTTTGTTGAGGAGTGACCTGTAAAGCAAAATTCTCTTTTCAGTGATCATAATAATTTTTTTTGTCTTTAAAATACTCATCTCTATTTTAAAAAAACCATGTGACTTAACCATATGGTAAAATACGTTGTTTTAATATACGGTTTTTACCATGGGGTAAAAACACATGGTTTTTGTCAATAGAGATGGCTAGTCCAGGTCTCGATATTCAATTCAACTTCATTTAGAGTTACTTCTTATTGTTTCCTATTCTTATTAGTAACTTCGGAGTATTAATAACATATTAATAACTTCACAATTCATACCTATAGGGGAAAACAGAAGAGTTGTAATTATTATTTAGACAAATTAAATGTTGTAATAAATAATTAACGACGATCAAAAGAAGCTTTTTTTGACATTTTAGTTGGTTTACCTACTACGACGAAGCATATGGTAACTATTTCTTACAGCACCAACCTACATGGTAACGACAGTTTCGGCTTCGGTACACATCCCTCAACGTTAACGCCACCTGCCTTATAAGGTACCTAACTAAATTTATGTGGCTCAAAAGTTAGAAACAAGAGAAGGTCTGCCCTTGCCTTCTATACGTAAAAAAGACATATTCTATATTCTCTGTCTCTCCTCGCTGGCGCTTGTGGGCGAACTGACACGCATGCGTCAATCGTCAATCGTGAATCATCTTCCTGGAGACTAGTATCGTAATGTACTATTCTACAGTAATTGACAGTATCTTTGCTTAAAAACTGTATCTACACCATTGGTTTAGGAAAAAAGATAAGATTTTAACGAGGCCGACCGCTTACGATATAGAAAATTTTCGTACAGATTGCACCGTAGATCATGACTTGATGTACCCAGTGATAATATACGCTTAGACATGTTTGTTTGAATTCAATGTTAATATGAGAAAATTTATTATTGTGACAGTAAAATTAGAATTGACTTAATGACCTTATTTACTGATTTCCATGTAGTTTAATTGTGAGCGCTCTCAAGCAGCAAGGCAAACAGAAGTCCAAAAGCGTCTGACAGCAAGGAAACGAGCTCAAATACAGTCGATGTTAGTACGCATCAGTACGCCTCCACCGGTTCCAGGAAGGAAACATGAGCCAGTACAAACTGAGTTGTACCTTGAAGAAGTAAGAATTTGTTAATGATATAGTACTTTTAAACAGTTGTCTTTGTTTTTTTATTCTTATAAAAAACAAATATATTTATTAAAAAAAAAATTNAAACTTTATTAAAAAAAAAATTTTTATATTTTTAAGTTTAATATCATCTCAAACTTTTTGTGACTATGATGACTTTACATTACAATGAAATACTTGTTAGAAAACGGAACGAAAATAGTAAATTAATATTGTAATCATGAATCTGATTTTTAGTCTTTAAAATTAAATATATAAGAAACCCTATAGTGATATCTTAAAAACTGAAAAGACATGTCAATTATTTTAATTTTTATTGTTTCAAAATGGTTAAAACTTATTTTGTAGAAATGCAACTTCCACTCTCATTCACACAACTTATGATTGTCGTGAAATATGAGAATTATTTGCGGTCAAAGTATAAAAGATCTACTACAAATCTTTTCCATGATAAATTTGTCATAGGAGCAAGCCCCAGAAACTTTTTTTTCTATCCCTGACAAAATACTTGATCAAATCATTATTTTCTTCCCACTTTTTCAGTGCAATTTTCTTCTAAAAATATCAATTGAAGACAGATAAAAAATCAAGCAACAGCTATCAGGTAGCTTTCATTATTATAGTACAGAACATAAAAGCAAAGAAACGTGTCAAAAATGCTGAATTTAGGATCTCTATTTCAAAGATTCGTTTATTTGTTACGCTGTAATTAATTTTGAACAGAAGTTTTATTTCTATTATTTAAGACTTCTAAAGTGTCTTAAAAAATTTATTTAAAAAATTAATTACTATCAATACGGATAACGAAAAGATATTGTGTTAGAGTATTAACCATGAGTTTGAATTTTGTTACTTATAATAATTTAATAATGTCACGTACGGTACTTTAGCTACACGTACGTAAGCCCCCTTTTTCTTGGGCCTACCGATGACGATTGTAGTGGGACAGAGCAGAGGAATGAGAAGATAGGATGCTAAAGGGAACCTCTCTCTGTCTGGAAACGGCAAGGACGAAGGTCTTACATACGCGACTCGCTCTTCTCTCATTTGAATAAATAAAGGAGTTGGGACTAGTTCCTCGACTACTAACTTTGTGCGCACCCCAAGACCTGAGTAATAAAAATATAAGTTTCTTGCAATGATGAAAAAGAAATTTTATCGTCAATGTTGTGGAAACAATTAATAATACAAATTAATAACGCAGATATAATTAAATCAGCAATTACTTGGAGAAAAATATAAAATAAATTATAAGTTATTTTCTTTGTTTGGTTAAACACTTGATGTTAAGTAAGAATGAGAAAAACATCCTTTTCAAGTGCGGATCGGACACACACCACCTCATATGTTTACTAGAAAGTTACTCTACCACTTGCGCTACCGAAAAGTCGTACGTTTACCCACACCGTAGGTTTAGACAAGTTCCCATAAATTATTCACTTTTATTATTTAATGTGTCTCTCAGCAGGTTTTGTAAAAATAGGATAATTAATCAACTTACTTCTTCATTCTATAATTATATGCTCATGTCTTATGATAAATAAACTTTATAAAATAAGCTTATTGTTGACAACTAGAGTCTGTGCATACGCACACGATCAGTTGAGAGCTAATTTAGCAAGAATGAAAACTGCAAAGTGCTTGATTTTATCTTGAGCAAAGTTTCATTGGTCTTAACAATAACCTTATTAGGCTCACTTTTTTAATAGAAACACAACAAATTTTGATAAATTACAGTGTAGGGCCATTCATATTTTGACAGAAAAATACAAATTTGAATATAATTTATTGAAAAGAAGCAGTTGCATGGAAGGAATTGAATAGAGATGTATATTATTTTTTAGAAAAAAGTTCTTTATCGTAGCTTACGATGGGATATACACTTTCCGTGTATTTTCTCATTTCCCATGTATAAGGATGGTTGGAAACTGGGACCCATCAGCCCAAAAGTGTAAGAAAAAAAAGTGCACTTGTAGGGAGAGAGAAGATAGAGCAGTAGTGGTAACACACAGAGAGAGAGGGGGGGAGGGAGCGGCAGCCTACGGAAGCGCCTATACGGAAGCGCCTACGCGCCACCTAGCCAGCTAGCCATGTAGTGAAAATTCCATTTCATGGTGAGTATAGGCCGTGACGATTTAAGGTGGCTCCAGCGCCTAGTGCCGTATCAAAATGGGGAGACTAAAAATTAATCATTATTTTCTTTAAAATATGGTATAAAATTATCGTACCGACTGTTGTAAGCCATATTCTACATTTTATCTGTTACTTTAGTGAGTTAATATAAAAAAACAAAAAAGTTTTATGGTGCCCTAATTGATGAACTATTACGGTACGCTCCTAAGTTCAAGAGTAGTTATACCTATATATATGTACTCTGCAGAATGCAGACAGCTGAGAGCTGACTTGCACTCGCAACTGTATACTTAGTCTCCGATTATTTAAAGATTTTGTTCAATCACAAGACACTTTTCTCATGTCATCGAAAACTGCTTAATAATATATACAAGATAGTATGTTTTTTACACCTTACGGGTTATTTATATAAGTGCAGCAGTTGGTTGTATATCGCGTAAGCTTGCATTTCCTATCTAACCCGTCTTTACACTACGATTTTGTAAGCATGATTTCTTACAATTTTCATCGTCAACCTTAATTTTTTTTTATACGAATAGAAAGATGGGAATTCAAAGAATATAATTNAATCGGTCTGCAAAATTTTACCAAAATCAGTTCAGTAGTTTTTGCGGTTAGCGATTACAACAGTTTTAGCGACTTTGCTTTATATATTAGTAAGATATATCGCCATGTCACGTGATACAGGCATATTTCCAATACGCTAGTGAAGATTCTTCCAATTGAGTAACTCTTAAAAAACATGATTACCAAGATATGTAATAGAAATGGATATTTTTAAATAAATCATTGTCTTTAAACGTCGTCCTTTTTTTTTAATAATTTTTTTATTCAACAAACGTGCTTCGTTCACTATACACATTTTATACACATTTTAAATGTGTACCGAAACAACACGTCTTAAGCATGTAATGAGACACGCTGGAAGCGTGTTGTAGTAACAAACTTGAAGTGTGTAAAAATAACACACTTGAGGCGTGTGAAAATAATACGCCTAGAAACGCATGAATTCTGTGACGGCTGTTTACATGCTCCAAGTGCATTAAAATAACACACTTGGATTTACAGTGATGTGGCGTTAGCGTTGGGGGAAGTGTACCAAAGAAGAAACTGTCATTACCATGTGGGTTGGTGCTATAGGATAGTTACCATATGCTTCGTCGTAGTAGGTAAACCAACTGAAATATCAAAAAAAGCTCCTTTTGATTGTCGTTAAGGTAGTTGTACAGCAAATTGAAATATAGGATAGAAAATTATGATATTTTGCAGGATGGTAGATTAATGCATAAAAATAAGAAATCTAAATTTTTGTGACCCGAGGGTACCTATAAAGGGAGATATTCATAATTATTTGCATGCCTTGAGTTTTTGTTTACATGCCAATTCAACATGGCGTCTTATGGGAAACCGCGGAGCTGTCTGTATATTATCATTCATATCGTTGCTAATATAGGATAGGTTCTGATGCCCTTTGGACAGTAGAAAGATAATTAAATGACAATTATATATTCGCTTTCAAAACCTTCCAAGGGTACTTGTGAGAAAAGTAATTAAATAGTAAAGCGTGAAGAACGTGCATTTGTGAGACGCTATTTGAAAATATGGCAACGCCGCATAATCTGATATTACGCGCGCGGTTTGAAAGGTAAATAGGTACATATGATTGCTCGTAAATCCTGATTACTGCAATCTCTCTTATAGATTTTCAATTATTGTTATAGGACGTATATTTTAAATAAATATGATAAATAAATATATAAATAATAAAACGAACTGATATACAAAGAACATCAAAACAATTTTATTGCCATATATTACTTAAAAATGAAATAAACATGTTATAAATTA